GATGTGTTGGGGTACTGCTTGTAGTTGTGGGTGTGGAGATTTGTTGATATTGATTGTAATGAGGAGGAGGATAGTTGTTGTGTTTAGAAGAAGAAGAAGAGAAATCATCTTCATCCATGAAAAAGTTGAAGCATTCTTCGTCTTGATGATTATGATGTGGATGATAATTGTATGTGCTGTTTTGTTTGTTAGAAGATCTAGAGCTGCTTGAAGTTCTGCTGGAGTTAAAAGAGTATTGATCAGATTGTTGTTGTTGTTGTTGTTGAAGGCTAACTAACCTAAACAAAGTATCCATTTAACACTAAAAGGGTTACGTATCTCTCTTGCCACATCAAACAATAAATGTACAAGACTAGTAGTAGTACCTTTAGTGATTTTGGTTCAAAGCATCAAGTGGAGTTGTTGGAGGAATTAAAAGCTTGACGCCTATTTACATAATTAAAGAAAGAGAGAACAACTAGTGGGCATAGAATAAAAAGATACTTACTACTACTAATAAGTACTACTCCCTCCCTACCTCCTATATTATTTTGTTTGATTTAAGAAAACTATTTTCATATTTGTTTAAATTTTTAATTGTAAAGGTAAAATATAAAATAATTAATTAATTTTATCTTGATTTAGCATATAAGACAAATATTATACAATATGGGATTGAAATAGTAAAAATTATTATTTTTTCTTTTTTTATATATCGAAGAACTTGATTAATATCGTTGATAAAGAATGGAATAGTAATAAGAATGAAATAGGGATTTGTTTTAGTTTTTCTAGTTAATCAAATGGAGTAAAAATAGTTCTTTTTTGTTTTTGCCGTTAAGAGATGGGTGATGATAGAAATTTGTCTGACAAAAAGATATCGATAGTGGTATGTATATAATTATAATAGTAATAGAAAAAAGTAGTCTATAAAAAGTGAATGAAATTAGTTGCTTTTTGATTATATATTTGATATAGACATAGAAAAGAGGGAGTAGAAGTGAGTGGGAGCATGCAGATAGATGCAGGCGTGACAAATTTAATAAAATGAGTTTTGAGGGGAAAGAGAAAAAAAGAAAAAGAAAAGCTGGCCGGCGTGCATCATCGTGATCATGATTCAACAATTTTATTAGAATCATTATGCATTATACATTATCGAACCCACCACTACCCAAAACATTATTATTTCACATTCTTTTGCCTCCTAATCCATCTTCAAAGCCTGCCAAAACAACAGTCACCAATAAAATAAAATAAAGATGAAAATTCGATACCCTCTCTTTACCTTTCTTATACTTAATATCACTTCAACTTTGAATACTATCTTTTATGTCAAAATTTTGATTAACATTTTTTTTTTTACATATTAATATAAAAAAGATTGTAACTTACATGTTATAAATTTCAAATTATGTGAATTTTGATCAATATTATTTATGGACTAATATAAGAGTGAATGGAAGGTGTACTAACATTGGACAATTAACATAAATCCAGGGCATGCTCCTTCACTTTTCTCTAAGCCCCATGAACATATACGTACATCATCACCACTATATCTAGTTACTTACTAGGTCATGCATTTTCCTAGACAATATACTTCTGCCGCGCCTTCTTGTGACAATATAATGAATCCATGGACATTAATATTTTCTCGACAGTCTACCTCTTTTAATCCATTTCACAAGTTTTCTCATAAAAAATATTTATCCTCGTACCAAACACGCCTTTACTGAAAAAGGTAAGTATATTGAGAAGCAGGTATTAAGCTCGTAAACTCACTTAACACGAGTATTGCTTTTTCAAAAGAGAACTAGGGGGTTGTGCCCGTTCAAAAGACATACTCAGTTTAATCATCAAAAGCAAACTATTAAAAAGAAAACTTATAATATGATTGAATCAAATTGAAGCGAGAATTTAGTAACTCAGTTGATTGGCTACTGAACTTTTACTAGTAGTACATTTTATATTAATTGCATTAGTATCTAGCAACCCAAAATTGTCAATTCGTATTCTTGGCTCTATCCTACGTACAATTATTGGAAATTTTTCCTACATTTTGTACCTTTCTCTTAACAGAGAATGGTCAGTTGGTTTGCTATACGTACATTTATAGGTAAAAAAGAACAATTTGTATTGACATTCATGATTCTAGTCCGTTTATATGATCAATTTGAATAAGGGCAAGATGGTCATTGTATACACCAATTTTCTAAGATATAATATTCTCTTGGGAAACTCTCCCAAGAATTATTCTTTAGCATTGGAAAATTATAAAATTTAAGTTGTTCCAAATACACACTCATCTTTTTTTAATCTTTTTTTTTTCTTTCTGTTAGAATGTGTCAAACAGACAAATTGGTTTTACGCGTCGAAGCTTAATTAATTAATAAAATTATATTATATAAAATAAAGTTAAAAAAAAACATCATCAGCAACATAATCCCCACATGATTTTTATAATGAAACTGGATATGATACGACAATGTTTTGTTTATAAATTGGATTGTCGTTGGATTAGTTTAAAAGGTGACTACGAAAGATTATTAAACAACTCTTTAATTCCACTTTGGAGGATAATCACAATTTAGTTCCTTAATTTATTTTTTCTTTCCTGTTTGGTTTAATAATCAACACAGTATATTTAATTTGTTTGCGTGTTTAATGGGTCAACTTTTCAACAGTACATAGACTCGGTTTGTAGTTTCTCTAACAATTTATATACCATGCTATGTATTACATACCCACGCGGGTGTTTAGCTAATGCAATATCTATTATTATGTGATTTAATATAGTACAATTACTATAACTTTAAATACATAGCATATATATATTTGCTTGGTGTAAATACTCGGTGCAATACTATTTTCAAGATGTCATAAAAAGTACCAAGTGAAAATGACTGATTAACAAGCCGCACATCTAGAAAAATGAAAAAATGTAAAATATAAAGAAAATGTCACTTTTATGAAGAAAAAAATTCAATACCTCATATGCATAAACAAGTAAAATTTTGATGATAAACCCCTTCTACATTTAATTCCCGCAGCTGCATGAATGTAATGGCCTAAATTATTCCTATAAACCCGAATAAAAGAAGGAGGTGTTTAATCATGTTTTATTATAAAATTTGAAGAAAAAAAAGATATTAGAAAATTAATTAGAGTTGTGTGGCTATGTAACTTCAACTTGAATTCCGAAGTATTATAGTTAAATATATCTTTTTGAAGTTCAATTTTGAAAAAAAAAATTCATGATGAAAACGCTTCCTATATGGAGGTGTAATTCGTAATAGAGTGAATATAACAAACCCCACCAGTTGTTGACCAAACAGACTTATTTTGTTTTGATATAATCAAAAGAGTCGTCAAGTCGAAACATTCTTGTCAAGTCTTGCAGTTTACATTAAATTATGAATACCGCTCAGCATGTAACTCCAAATTAGCCTGGCAAGTGTAAACGGTATAGTAGAGTCGCATGTACTTCTTCCATTCAATAATTATTTATTTTTTTAAATATTATACTTATTATATTCAAAAAATAATATTGTAAAATTGTCATTCAATTTATAATTTATTAAAAAGTGTGTTAAATTAATAATAGATAATTATTGTTAGACAAAGAAAGTACAGTACATGAAAAAGGAGAGAACGTAAACATACATACCAATCTGTTTTACACCTCCCCAAAAAGGTAATTACTCCCCCCTCTCAATTTTTATCCTTTTTTAGTTACTCTCTATTTTTCTATATATAGTATTCACTTTTGACATATTTCATTCAAATGTACAAACATCTTAACCATTCAGATTCAGATGTTATAATCTTAATAAACTTGTTCATATTTAATTTGACATATTTCTTCAGCTGTGTACAAACATTTTAATCATTCCAATTTAGACATTCTAATCTTGTTGAAAACTTATAATGCCTTAAATACCAGGTTTTAGCCAAAAACAGAATTCAAACTCTTTTAACAATACATCTAATCCATATAGTATGTATTGTACTTTTTACCCTGAGGTAAATTGTATAAAAGAATCCTTTATATCCATTGCTTTTAAGATCTTTTTTACTTTTCAATATTATATAGGAGAGATGGGAAGGAAGGAAATTACAAGATAGGAATCAAAATCATACCAACAAAGTTGAAAGTTCAAATAATCAACCGACTAAACTAAACTAGTAGAATCCTATTTTGCGGAGTTGTTCTTTTCTTCCTTCACTTTTTCTGACTAAAAAAATACATTTTCAAAGAGGGAAGGGTGATAAATATAATGTTTGAAATGGAGACTTAGCTTTTATAATGAAGTAGTCAAAGAGTAGAATGGAGTCATGAGTAGGAGCCCAAGGGACAAGGGGATCAGCTTTTTGTTCTGTTTAAGTTGGAGTCCCACCACTGACTCCCATTAGGAAATGCTTTGTATGTATCAGTAGTCAGCTGCCTCTCATTATTAAGTCCCTCTCTAAGCTATTCCTGTTGCAGACCATGTGAATATGTGATAGATAGTACTACTACACCTTATTTTCCTTTTCTACCATCATATGCTTATGGCTTTGTGACATTCAAACACCTAGATAGGAATTCACAACAAGATTTTCATGCACAAATGCTCATACCTGAAACATCATGCCTTTCAACCAAAACCACAAACAACGTGACACTACTCTATATCACCTTCTAACTGTGAGGTTTATGGAGCGACAACTAAATGTAATTCATTCCAAAGTAATTCCTGTAACAAAAGAACATAAATAAAAACGCCAAAAGAAATGGAAAATTTCATCGTTATATTATATATAAAAAGGTTTCATGAAAACATAATCACGTTACAACTTCAACTCATTTTATTTTCCTTCCTGGGTTTAAACCTCACCATTAGTATCCCTTCCAAATTGAACTTTGAAAGTTCAATTGTCACAATGGGAACATAGATCGTCATAATCCCAGCAAGCATGTAAATGTCCATCAATCATAGCTCCCATTAACAAGGAACATCAGTTGGAGACTAGCAAGCAAGTGAAACATCAAAAGCTCAATCTTATATCACCATTCTGAACAAGGGGAGAAGCAGTAAAAACCTATATAATTGTTAATAATACTACAGTTATAGTAAAAAAATATCACCAAGTGTCTAAAACAAGTGTAATAGATTGTTCCTAACTCTGCACTCCCTTTTCTCTTCTTCTTCTTTTGTTTCTCCCATCTTTTCCATAGGGTCCCATATTCGGCCTGGCAGAGAAAAGTCTTTGACAGTATCATTACACTTAAACAACTAAAGTAAATTCCACCAAATTAAAAATCATTTGGGAGAAACACTAGCCCTAGATTCATCAAACGTTCATAGTACAAACAGATTTACTAAGCCTGATGATGTAATAACATACCTACAAGTTCAGATTATCGGGATTGAATATGTTACAGATGATAGCAGTTCCTCTCGTCGATTAAATAATAGTAAAACTCAAACCAAAGCATCTCTCTGTGTGCTTTTATCAAGTATCAAACTGAATCATCCCTAGTCTTTTTTTAAAAAAGCTCGTATTGAGAGTTCAGATCCTAACCACTTGGTTTCCGTCTTACACTTGTTTGCTGAAGGAAGTTCAATGTCACAGTATTAACAGATAATTACAATTCTACCATGCTGAAAAATCTTTAAGTTCTGCTGTTGATGAGCCTGTTTTTCTCTTCTTCACTACAGAAATAGGTGGCAGACTGCTATCAGAATAAGTTTTGGAATCAGCCTGTGCAGCCCTTGCTTTCAAATACTTCCCAATTCCACTGCCAACAGCTTGAATCTCTGAGGTTCCAGTTCCAGGATTGCTGTACCATGATCCAACCTTCTCCTGGAACACAGGAAGAGAAAAGAGATAAACAGAGAGTATTAACAGATCCAACAAAACAAGCAAAATGGATGTCATTGAAAGGCTAAAAAAAAGAATAATACTAACATTGTCTGCATCTTCAGTTTTGTTGTCATCGTTTGTTTTCTCCTCTTCTTCATCAAGCTCTGCATAGGGGTTTACATAAACTTCTACACTTATTATCTTGATTTCTTCCTGCACAGACAGTAAAGCAAAAGGTTCAAAAAATATCTAGATTGAGAAATGAAAATACTGGATATGCAGAGAAAAAGCAGCAAGATTTTCAAGTCTGGGCTTTCTTGGACAGAAATGAAGATAAATGGAGGATTGAACAAAAATAGCCAGACAAATGAACAAATAAATGATATCTGGAAGAACATAAAGTCTTCTTTGGAAAATGAAAGTATTAAATGTGACGGTATAAAACAACCCAACAGCTCACAATTGGCAGAAATGGCACAACTACAGTCTTTTTACAGCTCTTTACATATGTATCATATCCTGATATGATCCTATCACTCCACTTTCTACTGAAACCTGAAAATCAAGTCGAACTTTGGGAATGAAAGATCTTTCCCCCTATTTCTCTTTAGACAAGTAATTCATTTTTAAAAAAAATTGTTAGCATACCATTTTGATAACCACAGATAGAAAAAGCTAAGCATGATGACTGACTGCAAGAATGGAGGAAGATAAATTAACACGCACATGCAGTACAGGTCTACTTGAAAAGATCTTCAAATCTCATCCTTATCCCAAAGCTTAACAGGTCAAAACAGATTATTGACTTGTTTGGTCTTTGATTATGAGCTGTTTCTAGTAATTTAATGAAAAAATAAAAAATTATCCCAAAAGCAGAGCAGCTCAACTGAAATTCTTGACATGATCATATTGGATTAGGAAACTCTTTCTTATGATTTAATAAGCAATCCCTATTAGAGAAATATCAGATCGATCACTATAGTTGAGAAGTATCAGTATTCGGTATATCAATGTCTAATCACGCAATACTGGTTCAACAATGGGAACTAACCACATAGCTTTCAGACACATAGATGGAGTAGCTATTTCGGCTATTGCTGGTATGACTAGTCTTTTATAGTAGTTCTTCTCCCTAAGTTGGTTAAAGTGTTAATCAATCAAACCATATTCATTGATTCACCAAGGCATGATTCGAGATCTAAGTTGAAGAATGAGAGTTAAATATAGAGTTACTCTTCCTACTAACCAGAGGTCGGTCATCGTCATCAACAGGGACTTTCTCCATGGTGGAAAGTGTTGGCAAGCCTCCAACAACCATACCAAAGACGGTATGTTTGAAATTTAAGTGAGTGGCAGACTTGTACAGGATGAAGAACTGTGAGCCATTTGAGTGAGGACCAGAATTAGCCATGCTAACAACACCTCTACCAGAATGCAGCAACTTGGAGTGCACTTCATCCTTGAAGGGCTTACCCCAGATCGACTCACCTCCTTTCCCTGTCCCAGTTGGATCACCACCTTGAATCATGAAATTCCTGCAAAAGTGGACAAATAAGTTCCTTGACATTCAATATTTCCTATTGATAAACAGAGATTTATTTATTTTATTTTTTTGATAAAGAAAAAGATTTTACAACTATTTTCAAGTAAAAAAGGTAATAATTACCGGATGTTTCTGTGAAAAGCTACTCCATTATAATAACCTTGTTCACAAAGAGTAATGAAGTTCTCACATGCCCTTGGAGTTATGTCACAATGAAGCTCAATGTTCAAATCACCATGTGTTGTATGCAGCTGGACATAACCTTTCTTCTTGGGATTTTTCTCAACTTTAACATATTCATATTCATTCTTTGTTACCGGATCATAGGAGGTGGAAGTGAAGGATCGAGAAGCAGCACCAGTGGTAAAACGACTCTTAACCTGAAAGAGTTGAACAGCTTTATAAATCACTTTGAATAAAACAACAGATTTTTATCATGGGTCTATGTGTAATTTTCTTGTTGAGCGTCTCTATTATATTTTTTGGACAAGTAAAAATTATTGCACCTCAACATTATAGAGGTTAAGATTAATCAACACCAAATAGAATGCAAAATTCCAAATACAAGTCAAAGTCCGTTTTTTTATGACAAGGGAAACCGATCAATTTGAAGTTAAATGTTCATTAAAAAAAAGGGGGGGGGGGGGGGGGACCGCAGCCGCTACCCTTTGAGTGCACAGGGTAAAACCCCTGCTCCTATGCAATAGCTCGCAAACCACATATGAGAGGTAACCCGCATTGTTTTAACCAATTAAAAAGGGCACACCTGATAGCTAGCTACCTGTAAGGCAAGGTGTATAAAACATTTTGTTTGTGTCCCATAACAAAGAACTATATGTTTCTTAATTAACGTGTGAAGAAGGAATATTACACAAGCAGAAAATTCTTATAACATACATCTATACTAAGTGTACACTTGCAGGACATGGTTGCAAATTGGATTATCCAGATGAAGAAACCATATTGACAAGCCACAAGGAGGTCAAAAAATCAACTATGCCAAATCCCAAACAACTTATGGTCAGCTGAATGAATCCTTACTGACCATGCTTCTCTATTTCAACTCATCTAGGCTTGTATAATACAATTCAGTAATAATAATAACAGCAATTACTAGAGGTTTTCAATACTTTCATCTGGCATACAAATCTCATATGGAACCAGAAAACTCCTAGAAAAGTAAGACCTAAAGGAAATACTACGTGGATAAAACATGCTTCCAATTAACAGGTATTGCCTATATAGATCTTTTCTTCTATTATGTGCTATTTTCGATACGAGGCAAGGCGACAAAATCATGATCTATAATTAGTTATAAAAAAAATTCTAGAAATAGACCAGAAAGTAATATGGGTAAATTCCTAAAAAGCACACCATATATACTGGAAATCTAGCATGAACATATAGGTTCCCAATTGAATAGTGTAAACTATGCATGTAAGTTAAATATCTACTCTTTGTGAATTGATCCAAAGAAAGCAATGAGATGTTTGCTTCCTAAAAACTAACCAGCTTAGCATTTACTGGAGTCCTTTCACCCGCCATGTGCAAAGCTATCCGCGCAGCTGTTTTATCAGTTGAACCAGCCTTTGCAGCAGCAGCACTTCTTCCATGAACTGACGCAGATGCAGCATCCACAATGCTGAAAGTCTGCTGCGCTGTTCCTTCACCATTTTCTTTTGTTTTCGCGTCATCTTTGATACGTGATCTTGCAGCTAAAATAGCCTCAAGAGCAGCAGCTCTTTCATTCTGTGCCTTGTTCCCACCTCCACCATGCAGTGCAATCTCTTTCGCTTTCTCACTTCCAAGTTCCTTGAGCATTTGCTTGATGTCCCCAGTAATATTTATGTTGTATGTTGGGTCAGAATGCATTTTCTGTATTTCTGATGAAGTACCAAGCACTAATTAGAAGAAGTGGACCATAATTGCAGCAAAACCTGTGTAATTAAGAGAATCACTCACCTTCATCGTCAACCTTTAAATTTTTCTTAACATGATCAAAATCTAGAAGCACCTTGGTGTCCAGTGCATTAGGATTCTGCAGTTAGATGTTCAAATATATCATATAAACAACATTCTCATTAATCATCTATAACAGTTAAGAGGAAGGATAGTAGTTTAAAAGCTTACTTGAATTGTTATAAGGTCTTCTCTAGAGAATGCTTCATCAGTGAGAAGCTCCTTCCAGTTCTTTGTTTTGATATTCAGTTCTTTAACTGCCTAAGCAAGAAAGCCAGGATCAAACTCTCCATACAAGGAATAGAAGATGCTCTTTTCTTTGAAGGACACATATGAATAGTGGTCAGGAGACAAATATCCATACCTCATAACAGAAAACATTTCCCGTAGTTCTTACAGCAACTATATGTGTGAACTCTGTAAAAACCTTGTTCAAGACCGGACAATGATACTCTCCTGAAACAATAAAACACCAGTTTTCAACCCTTTCCTGGAAAATGACAACTACTAATATGACTGCCCTCCCTAGAGCTAGTAGAATTTCTAGGTATAGCTATCCCTGATTACCAAAGGCTAAAGACCCAAGATTTCATCCTTAAACTGTGATGGAAGTTTGAACGGATGACTGTGAAAAAAGTAGGCATAAGTGTTTATCGATCATCCCACATTCAATGTCAGAAGACATATACAATGATTGTACAACTACAAGTATAACTTTTTTGTTCTTTTAAGTATAAAATTCGTGTTCAAATTGGATTTCCCGTCAAATTCCAAAGCTAATTACAAATTGGATATCTTCAAAACAAGGTACTACCTTCAGAGTTCTTGTGGAAAGTAAGAGGAATTAAGTCTTCTTGCTTCATAGGTGCCCCAGTTACTGGATTCCTCCCATATTTCCTGATGTATGGAACTATATGCCTGAAAAAAGAAAAAGAAAACTACAATAATGGATACTCCGGATGAAAATCCCATCAAGAAACGGAAACTCTGAATCCAAGAAATACTGACATTATTTCAAAAACATTGCCATCTTTTGTGCATACTGGGTCCTCGAACGGTGTAAATGTAAGACTGCATATAAAATTACACGCCAAATTTAACAAAACATATACTTCACAAAAGACGATAATGATGTAAACAATCAATATAGCAGAGAAAAAAACTTACGCGCAGCAATAGAAGGGAAGCCGTTTAAAAGGGGTTTTAAGTTCTTTCGATTTAGCGCCACCCCATTCAGTTGCCCATTCTGTCTTGGTTATAAACATTCGATCTTTACTGTGTTGTTTCTTCCCCATGATGCCTTTCTTGTAAAAGACTATAATCTCTCTGAATTAGGGTTTTAGCAGAACACTTTTATTTTCCAAGAAACAAGAAATCTTGTTGACTGTGTTCTTGAAATTGCTTCTTGTGGCGATACCGTTTTACAGTATCAGATAAATCTCTGTGTGGCCGCTTTGAACCTTCTTCTCCGGTGTGCGTTTCCCTTTTTTCTAAATCTGGACCTAACTTGAACCCGAATTTATAATACATTGGCCCGGCCCGTATTTAAAGAGGTAATTTTACATTTAACCTCGTTATTGTTAGATTTTTATTTTGATCGTTGTGATACTTTCCTACACAAATTTAAACCTTAATTAAATAAAAATGGGCATTTTTATTGTTTTTTATATAGAAAAAACACATTATGTGAAATGGAGCTCAGATTTAATTTTTAAACTAAATAATCTTTTGATATAAAGTATAAGTACAAATTTAACAAAACATATGAAAAGTTAAATATTTCAAAATTAGTACTCAATTTGTTAAATTTATCAAAACTCATAATTATTATAATTAATAGAAGTGTTCATTTCAATTAATTAGTGATTAAATTATAAATATATTCAACAAGCTATTTTTATAGCAAAAAATTATATATATATATATATATATATATATATATATATATATATATAAAATAAAAATAAAAAAACTGACTGCTACATATTGTCTTTTCTTTGTCCATGAAAAAATGGAAAAGAAATGGTGATATACCGCATTTTCTTCCTCCAATGAAAAAAAATGAGGAATCCATTTAAAAATTTCAATTGTAAACTTACTCTCTGATCAAAATATTTTATGCCTCAAACTTACTCTAAACAAGATCTATTTATGAAATATCTCAAAAAGTCAAAGGGAAAGAAAAAAGGAACAACTATATCATATTTTTTTTGTCTCAAAAAGTCGTAGTTTGATTTAATGCGAAGTTTTAAAAGTTTTTAAAAATTTTTTGTGATTTAAAATATTTTTTTTGAAAAAAAAAATTGGCTTAAAATATGTTTTAGATAATTGACTATAAATATTTTATTAATGAAACGAAGTCATTATTATCTCCGTGATCACTAATTTCATTATTTATTTCCGAAAATCCCCATCATTTGTGCCCCTATGTTGTAGTTACTGAGAATACGTTTGAATTGATGTAAAAGTCGATCAAACATATTTTCAAGTCCATTCTTACTTCTGAAAGTGTTTGACAGTATATAAAATAACTTAAAATAAGTTTAAAATGTTTGACAAGATTAAGAAAGTGTTTGAATTGGCTTAACAGTTAGTCAAACCTATTTTAAGTCAGCTTTTGTCATTTTAAAGTGTTTGAAAAATATAAAATTACTTCAAATAAGACAAAAAATTAACTTAACCAAATTTTAATTTAAAAATCATTTAAATTTAATTTATTTTTTTGACTTAAAAACTATCCAAACGGGCTCTAAGTTCAGCCCAATGAGTTACAGGCTTGAGACCCAGTACTACTTCGTCGTAACTCAAACTGTTTGGGCCAACATTGTCGCCGCCGGAAACCCCTGAAGAATTACTCAGAAATCAGCGACGATGGGTGGTGACCGGTGTAGAAGCACGAGTAGCAGTAGCAGCAGCAGTGAAGAGGATGGAGATGCTGATTGGAGAGCCGCCATAGATTCTGTTGCTGCTACAACTACATTTGGCAAAACTACCGCCAAAATTCATTCATCAACTACTGCTACTAACGGAGAATCTATTGCCCATCCATTCCAAGAAGATGAAATAGATACTATCCAACCCCAGAAGCTCAAACATTATCAAATAAAGGTACTTTCTCATTTGCTTACCTGTGTATTACACCTTGCAACTTTTGTTAACTGAGTATTCCAATGATGTTATCGTAATACTCTAGAAATCCCTTCATTTTAATAGATTTGATTCTACGGAGTCTATCTCTATTCTCATACCCTAATTATAGTATGCCTTATCATGCTAGCACTAATAACAGGACAATTGGAACTGTAGTAATTTTCCCTAAAGGCCTTCAACAACATTTTGGTCTATCATGTTTTTGCCATTGCGGTCATTACTTGATGAATAAATTCATGAATGGACACTAACAGGGCCTGAAGACTTTGGAAGACATTTTAGACAAGACTTTAGACATAGTGAGACGCGTTGATGATGCTTCACAGGAAGAAACACCCTCAATGAATGGAGGTGGAGTCCGGTTGTTTAGGCGTGCTCCACCTGGGATTCTGTTTGATCACACAGGTAAAAAAAATAATCTAAAGCAAGTAATTTAATGATTGTTATGTCTGCTTAAATTTGTTTGTTGTTTGTTTGCTTAACATTCTTAAATCCCCACTTTTACTACATTGACCAACCTTGATTAATAGAAGCGTAAGCTTGATACTGTGTTAACATGCTTTCTCTTATGGGATAAAAGTTTATTAGATGCATAATGGAAAAGCCATGTCCTTTACCCATGCTGGAAGGAAGAGGCAGGCCAATTTCTAAATTCTAACAGCAACTTGCGTTCCTTCATCCTAAATTTCCAGGCTATCGTTTAGATTTGAAATTTTTGTTTCACCTACTCTTTATCGCTTTAGTAGAGATGTCAACACTTAACAGAAACTAACTAAAGGAATAATCTACTGAATGACTACCCTTAAATTTTGAGGAGTCAAGCGACCAAACTACAGAAATTTTGGCGGTGGGGGGTTTGTTTAGTGCGTTTTACTTTACTTACTAGACTAATATGATTTGGAATTAATTTGTTCTGATGGTCACTACTTAGATGGAGAAAGTCAAGGATGTGATTGAAAGGAATGATGAAAATTCATATAGAACTTATGGAGTAAGTTCACAAAAATATTAGGCATATTGAATAGACAAAGGACATAAAAACGTCTCTTTTTTCTAATTTATTTTGATTAAGGGGGCAGGGAAAGGATGGGTATCGTGTACTAACTGTTCCTAGACAAATACACCGCGGAATGGATTCATTGCCCAATGACTTACAGGAGGGAGAACTGGGTGAATGAGATGGGTTTTACTACTTTGCCTCCTTCGCGGCCTGAAGTCTGAACACATTGCTATCAGAGCAACTATAGCTACATATTGTTGAGAGGGTGCACACTTTAGATGTCAGTAGTAAGACTAGAGCCTAAAACTAAAACATTTGTCTCCCTGCTTTGTTGCTAGATGAACTCCAAAAACCCAGAAAGAAACCAAGAATTCGTCCTGGGAAGGAATTTGAGGAGAACTCAAAAGAGGTTTGTCTTTTCTACTTCTCGTTTTGATTCATAGTTGGTGAAATCTTTTATTTTGAACTCTCTTTCCACCTCGCTGTTTTGTTATTTCACCTTCTCACTCAGTCCATTATTGTTGCCACAGTTCAAAAACCAAATCAAGTCCATTGCTGTTGATGGGATGGATATTTTAGCTGCATCTAAAAATGCTTGCCAGAAATCATTGGCCAGACTAGAAGCAAGAGAAGCAGCAGCTAAAGCAGCTGCTAAAAGAGAGGAAGAAAGAGTTGCAGCATTAAAAAAAATTAGGGGGGAGAGATGGCTCCCTGCTGTGGCCAGAGATATGCAGTCAAGACTTCAACGACGTTAACACCTGTAGATGGACTATGCTTCCATTATTCAGCACTCAATCTTTCATTTCTTTTACTCTTTATAGTTTCTATGGCTCATTTCAGCCTGTATTTTATGTTAGGCCACCTGAGCTGCTGTCCTTGTCAGTTCCAGAAAAAGACATCGACACTGTTACTGTATTGCCAAAAGAAAGGAAGAAGAATTTCCTTCTGATTAAATTCCTTTGACATTTCTATATTAAGTTCAAAATTTTGGTTATTAGTACGGCCACTAGCAATTGGCGTCAAGGCAAAGCATTTCTGCGTTCATTTGCAACCGAGGATCGACCGGTGTTGTTAGTGAAGGCGCCGGTGATTCTTTGGTTCATGTTTTTATTTTTTTTGAAAGAAGTAGCTGTGCAGACCTGACAAGCCCTCAATGTAGTAGTAGATACAAACAAGAAGCTTAAAATACTTGTAAACTTGTACAACCTTAAGTAAACAACTCTTCTTCTATTGTTATCATCACCATCAAAGTGACAAATGAGAAGCTGCCAAAAAATCTCAGAAAACTTGAAAATAAGGAATTGAACCGTCTAATAATCGGTTAATACAAAGCCACCTAGGAATAATCTCCACAGTGCTGATCCTTCAATGAGTAATCATCACCACTTGTGGTGTAAATACCGTCTAAATCTCCCTTTATTCTTCTCAGCAGAAACTGCACCATGGGATGCTGCAACCCAAGGACAAGGAAAGCCCTCAAAATAGGCTGTGGCATCACCGCAATTCTGCTAATTATTCTTCTTATCGTTGCCATTACTCTATATTTCACTATCCTTAAGCCAAAAAGTCCAAAAGTCACAACTCAGTCTGTCGCATTAGAGACAGTAAGATTAGAGCCATTTCCAGCATTTCATCTCAACATAACAATTGGCCTAATCCTCACTATCCATAACAGGAATTATGGTAGCTTCAAGTATGACAATAGCAGAGCTTATGTGACTTACCGCGGAGATCCAGCAGCAGAAGCACTAATTGAAGCAGACACCATTCCAGCTAGAGCAGATCATGATTTGAACACAACTGTGCTAATTGATTCAGATGGTTTCTCTAAGAATCCTAATTTCTTAGGAGATTTATTATCTGGTTGCTTGAATTTTACTTCATCAACCGCTTTACATGGGAAGGTCACTGTATGGAAAATCTTGAAGCTCAAAGCCAGAACAGTTAGCACCTGTGACATTTCAGTTTTCACCAAATTCCAGAATGCATCTTCTGTATGCAAATCCAAAATTAAGCTCTGATTTTTGTTTATTCATTTTCCTGCTATTCTTTTGTCTATTTGTTCTCGTTGACGATGAAGAAACCATATCAATAAACTAGCAAGAGCCCACGTATGATTTGAAAACCAAACCTCAATTACGGTTCTTGCTTCTAGAAACTAAACATCGTTATTAGCTTCACTTGAACAAGATTAGGGATTTAGGTCTGTTCGGGGTTTCTAGAAGCATGTTTAGAAGACAATATCTCAGTGTAGCACATGAATGCAATGCTTCTTTCTGTGATATGATCATAAGCGTTGTATAATAGCAAAGCTAGCCTTCAGTTTACAAACTAAATTTATATACATCGTTTTCCACTTATAC